TGCTTGATAAAAGTTGTTGAAATTGCTTGGCTGCCATACAACTCCAAAAGTTATTTTGCCATATTTCAGAAATTATTCAGCAAATAGTTTAGAGCGAGAGTATTTTCAATAAAACTTTTTTATATTATACAAGTTTATGTGGTAAATACCATTTATGTATAAAATAGCACTAGACAAATAAAAAGTAAAAAAGTTATATGAAACTGAATGTCGGTTATCTCATTAATTTGTGCGCGTATCACAGAGTTATACAACTAAAATTTGGTAATAGCTTTAAATGTTTTTTTTGCTCCCTTGCAAGATAAAATATTGCGTTGATTAGCTATTTTCAATTGAGTCGCTAAAAGAGAGGCGCGTCTTACAAAATTAACGTAATAGAAAATTATTAACGTGTGCTCACCTAATAATAAAATAATGTCAAGGTTTTTAAATTTGCTGACAAAATAATATTGTCAGCATTACAAAATTAATGATGCACATTAGTTTAAAACTATTATGTACAGTAAAATAGATGAATATAGATAAAGTATAGTAGATGTACAATAAAAATCTGTGCACAAAAAATTTATTTTGAAAAATTTAAGATTTTTTAGTTTTCGAAAAATCATTGAGAATTTTGTATGTAAATATTTGTACTACATTTTTGTAAAAATATTTCTATTCTTAAAAATTAAATACTTTTTTATTTTAGAAACTTCTGAAAGTTAATTTCCATGCATATTGTGTTCTGATTGAAATTTTCCATCATGTGCTGTTTATTTTTAAACTTACATAGTGAAAGAAGGAAATTAAGAAAACTTCTTATAATTTTATGTTTATTGAAAATATTGTAAAATTTCTTAAAATTTTATTTTAACACTTTCTAGTTATTGGCATTTACATAGTATTTTTTAATATATTACCAATACCTTCTGAGAATTGAGAACAAATTTGTTTAACACTCAAATGTTAAATTTATTTTATTTGCATAATGCATGGTTGAAAAAAGTTTTTTTTTTTTCAAAATTTAGAAAATTTTTTATTTTTCTTAAAGGACATTTTATTTATTTTCGTTATCTTTGTTACGCTCTGAAATTTGTTTTTCCTTTAAATTTGTTAGAAATTTAAATAAAAAAAAAGAAAATTTTTTCTTTAAGAATTTAAAAACAATTTCTACATAGTTATAAATTTTACCATTCCAAACTTATGCTTTACACTAAGGTACAATGTATGTACATATATTGTATTTTTAATGATACTCATGGAGTATATATGAAGTAGAAGAAGTAAAATGTACAAGAAATGTATAGAAGTGAAAGAAATTTAACAAAACTGTCAATACTTGACACATACACGCTTGGCAAATAAAATATGTAGTTCATAACTTATATTTACTCAGTCAGTCACTATATAACTAAACAAAATATTTAAGTCAAATGTTAAAACAGTACTCAAAATGTGTGATATTATTTACAGTGTAAGGGAGAAATGAAAACACTCATATTATTGTAGAAACACCAATAAAAGAAATTTTCTACAATAAAACCGTAGAAGAAAAGAGAGAGAAAAGGACAACGACCACACAATATATAAAGTTTACTAATGCCCGCAAGGGTTTATTTTGTTTATGTTTTACAAAGCTTAAGATCTTAGAATCTAAATACATTGTATATGAAAAATGTATAAAACAGATTTCATTATAATAGGATAAAAATATGACGATAAGAATTCTTCTATATACAATAAACTTTTATGTATTAAATTTTTATAAATGTTTTTGTTAGAATAGAGTAAAGAACTTTAGAAATTTAAAATAAAATTCTTAGAAAATCTTGAAATACAAACCTTTGTATAAGAAGAAATACTTTAACTTATAGGAAAATATTGTTCTGGAATAAAAATTTCTAGTTTAGTTTAGAAAACAAATTGCTTGTAAAATGAAAAAATTTTAATTACAATTTATTTTGCTTGAATTGTGAAAAAAAATCTGTAGCAATAAGAGGGCTGTAGTCGTCTTGATTCCCTTACAAAGAAATTTTAATATTGCTCTTATTACAGACAATAACAATCAACAAATTATATTCAATTTCGATAATTGTAAAATGAACAAGTTAAAAGTGAAAATATTTTGGAATTACTTGCTATGATTTCGAAAATTTCAAAAATGTTAAATTAGTTAAGTATAATGATATATAAATATTTCCTCCAAAAACTTGACATGCGAAATTTGGTGCATTTACCGCATGCAATGTAGTCGTTAATTAAAAATTAAATTTTTAAACTTGTTTTACTCGAAACTACTAACTTTAGAGGCTTGATTTCAACAAAGTTACTAAAAATAATACACAATTTAACAATCAGAAACAGTTTTAAATAAAATTTTTAAAAATAAAATAGTGTTTGCGAATTTTCTTATTATCATGGGAGGATTCATGAAATTGCCGTGTTTAATATTGACATTATTAGTTGTTACACCAAAATTATGCTCTATGAATTCATTCTATATAAAATAGATAAAATTGTGTCTTTAAATAAAATTTGTCTAGCTCTTATAGTCAAATTGTTCAAGTTCTATGAACGTAATATGCAATTATTTTGAAAGATTAATTCTATAAAGAAACATTAATTTTGTAGATTAAAAAACGTGACAAACTGCATAAATTGCGAACATTTGTTAATTTAGTAATAAAAAACATGAACAAATAAAGCCAATACTAAAAACCAATTTCTTTTACATCAGAATATTATAAAAAATTTTGTTAATGTTGTGTTAGGTTCTATATGTTAAAATTGCAATGTGACTTTTTTAGCACTTATATAATTACTTTTCTTGACTCGCACAATCACCCCTTAAATACGAGCATTTTGTAGAACGTTTCTTTTAATTTTTTTAAAGATTGCTTACATTGCTCATCCTAGAAATATGCAATTTTCGATATTTATTCGTATGTGAATGAAAGTAATTTTAATAATGTAGATTATTTGCTAAAGCAATATTTTCATTTGTTGAAGGGAAAAGTGCTACATTACTATCCTAACTTTTTTTTTAAATTACTGTGTTAAACTTTTATTTCGTGTTGTTATTGTTAAATTTTTCTTTTCGGATAAATTTTACATTGTGTGAATTTAATAATGACAAGAGAACTTTGAATCCACTTTCGTTTTAATAATAATTTCTTTGTTTAAAATATTCATAACTTAAATGAAATTTCTACTCATTGTATATGTGTATCAGTGTATTATTTGTTCCCCATTCAACTGGATATTATTATTACATTTTTCTAAATTCAAATATTGCTCATAACATATATAGCAATGCATAAATATGAGTACATACATAACGTGCTTACATTTTTATAAATATGCTTAATATATGCATAATATATGTATGTGTTTAGCTACATTATATCTGAAAGGTTATAGTATCATTGTGAACCAAATATGAAATAAAATATATGCATGCCTGTGTATGAAAACTTAGTGAATATTTTAAGCTTCTTTATTTTTTAAATGATGATTTCTACAAAATAGAACTTGGTTTACTAAAAAAATATTTTCGTGATATTTTTAAAATTATATGAATTTTCATTTCATATATGAATGAACACGTACAAACAATAAAGAGTATAGAGACAAAGCAAGTGATCTGAATAGAAACATAAAATGCACACAATATAATAAAAATTTCGGAAGTTTGTAAACTCAGAAAAAAAAAACACAAAACATTTGAAAAAACATTTTAGCAATAAGTTTTGTTTCCTTTTATACACAAATACAATTTCATTTCCTGATTAGAGTTATTGCGCTAAACTTTTGATTTAATAATAATTTAGAAAAAAGGAAAAAAAAAATAAAAAGGTTTTTATTGGAAAAGTTTTTCAATGTGTACATAGCATTAAGTAAAGTAAAATTTCAAATTTCACGATATTGTGAAAAGTTTTATTTTGTTTTAGAAAAAGAAAAATAGATGATGGACCTAGAGGTCTCACAATACAATATATATGAGTACTTATTTTATATACATACCTCCATTTTAAATTTCAATATAAACTTTTAGATTTAACTTTATAAATTTATGAAATATGAGAATTCACATTGTATGGAAATCACGGAGAGAAGTTCTTATACAAGAACAAATTCGAGAATTCTGTGTGTAAAGGTGAAATTATTATTTATAAACTTTATATAATGCTATATATATATAGATATTTTATTGTATATTTTTTTTGAATTTATACAAATCACGTAGCTATTAACATTTGAATAAATCTCTTTCTTAATTTTATGTTTCAACACGGACGAATATTATGAAAAATTATTTAAGGACGGTTCATTCTAAGTTATTCTCAGAACCGATATTATTCTACAATAGTAGTGAATATCCTATAAAAACAACATAAATTTTTCTACTAAAATATTCGAAAATCTTCTATGTCATTAAAACTTTTGATTCATAATAATATATGAAAAAATTCATATTTACGATAATTAAGTACGATCATATTTACGATAAGTAAGATAATTTAGTTTTTACTATTTTTGGTCAAAATTTTAAGAAATGAAAAGGAAAATATTGATTATTACAAAAACTTTTTATGATATTTTGTATAATAGCCACCATAAAGTCTAATGCAATGACAATGACTTGTTTTTGACAATAAAAAACCTATTCGTTTGATCGAAACTTCAATACCGTATGCCCTATAGCGTGTAAATATGGACAGCGCAAATAAAATTACTGTTCGGATTGTATTCAAATTAAATATGAGAAATTGAGGTATCTCCTCGCAAAACCAGAATATGAAGAAGTATTATGATATACATATTATGTCTATAATTCAGATGATGATTGTTATGAAAGGACAGTTTATATGCTATGGTATAGCATATAAACTAGTCCTTTCATAATAATATGCTAGTATAATTTCACCAGTATAAGAAAGCAACATAATGCCCGTAAAAAGAATCAATTTTCAAAACATGTACAAGCTTAAGAACTTGCAATCATATCTGATACTTACCGTTTTTCTTGTAAACTCTCGTTTTTCATCACACTGAAAATGAAAAAATAATATCAATTAATATGAGGAGATATGGCTTACTTAGTTTCGAGAAAATGTAGTCAAAACAATGGTTTGTAAATCTGACTTAAAAAATCTAAGTTTGGAACTTGTATTAGCGTACTCTTAATATATTAAAAATCATATTCTAATATTTAACTAATAATTTTTTGATTAATGTCGGTAAATGGGTAAGTCGAACAGAAAGACATAAGAACAATTATATGTGAAATTAAACGATTTTATTAAATTAAATTTTTTAGAAGAGTTCGAATGCGTCAAAGCATGCTTTTTAATTTTAAAAAACTCAAAATTGTTAAATAGATTACGTTTAGGTTTATTTATTTTTTTTTACGGAATTCTTAAAAATTTCTTTAAAAAAAGTATTAAATGAGATCAAATATTTATGGCCCCTTTTAAATAAATCATTTACGTACGGAAGATATTACGAAATATTAATGTTACATAACATATTTATTCATGTTTGTATATATATATATTCATTTGATATTATGCATTATAGAAGAATTTTCAGTTTAATCTTACATTTTTCTTTATTGTGACATCGAAAAGCTTTTAAGCTACTTTAAGATCAAATTGTGAATAATCACTTAAGTTTTATCCCATAGAGTGCAATTATTATATCATCACATACCTATATATAAACACAAACAAGAAAATATTATAATATACGAACTTACATATATTATCAAATTAAATATGGATAAAAGTTTTTAACGAAAGGGAAAAACTTTTTTCATTATTTCAAATCAAGAGTTATCTGCAACGACAAAGAAAGAAGAAGAAAGTAAGAATATGGTGGATGAAGAAAATAAATATAGAAAAAGAAGGAAAGAAAAATAAGAAGAAAACTCATGGCCTAGACCATTTTGTACAACTGCAAAAACAAAAAGACAAAAAAAGAAATTGAAAAATATTTATATTGCTTCCACCATTTTGGGGTTCGCCACTTATGTTAAATTTCTAAATTAGTTTCTTTTTGTTTTCCCAGCAGCAGCATTCCTATGCTAAACTTAGCTTAAATGTTAATGACATGGTCCACAACATTTTTATTTTTTTTTGCTTATTTTTATTTGTTTCCAAATTTTTACTTATTTTTTTTTTCTCTTATGCTCTCCGTCTCGCTAAAGTAAAGCTCTCTTTTTTCAACGAAAGAAAAATCTAGTTTGTCTTGGTATTATTGATATACTTAAACGTTTTTTACTCAGTGCTTAAAGTGAAACCGCAGTTTTCAATATTTTATTTTATTATAAAAATTTTAAACAAATGAATTAATAATTAATATTATTTCCTATAGATGAAGGGAAAAATATATTTTAATCATTGGTCAATTTACTTAAAAAGTGGGAGATAAGTTTTATGGTTTTCTTTATCTCAATTTGAGTTAAAAAACAAAATGAAGGAAGTAAATTGTTACGGGAATTCTGCAAGTAACAAAAGGATTTCTTACATAAACAATTGAAAACTAATTATTTTGTCTACAAAAAAATTTATTAATTTTTTTTTTGGAGTGGAAAAATTAAGAAATTTTCGATTGCTCCATAATTTTATTTATTTTTAACTTGATGTCTGTAAATGCACTTATTATCATTGCATCACATTGAATTTATAAATTTTAAAAGTAATAAAAATTAATTCATTGACACTCATGTTTACATTGCATTTCCACACACATTTTAATATGTTAAAGCAAAATTACGAGTATAGATTTAAAATTTTATTCGCATTGCAAATAATAATAAGAAGAGCCTAGAGTTTCATTATTCAATATAATCGATAACATGCACCTACTACCACTTCATACAAAACCTTTTTATTCTAATATTCTTTTCGGTTCTTTCTCCACTCTTTTCTTTTGTAAAATATTATTTGTTTTCTTTATATTTCTTTATATTATTCTAATCTTATATTAAAATTAATGCTTGTTATTTTTTGTTTAGCACATCTGGTGGTGGACTTTTCAATTTAACATATAAACAGAGATTCTTTTTCTGGAGTGTGAAAATCGACATTTTGAAAAACTATTGAAAAAAAAACAAAAGAAAACTCTTTTAAAGTGATATGAAAAACAAACGACAATAATGAAAGTTTTAAATGACAAAAACAAAACTTAAGAATTTTATTAAAATAGTATGTGCAAGCAAACAGAGGAATAAAAACAAAAGTAAAGAGTAATTTACGAAAACAAATATGAGAAGAAAGTTAAAAAATAAAATAAAGTATAGAGAGGAAGAGAAATTCAATAAATCAATATTTTTCTATGTGTATGTGTTTTTTCATTTTTTTTTTGAATGGAGATGGGAAAAATATTAACCCTTTCCTAAATCGATGACCAATATTCAATTGGATAAAAAGTAAATTTCAAATAACAATAAGTTAAGGTATCTAATTTTTTTATATCAGGCTTTTTTTTTTTGAAACTTTCAATGGCAAACAGACTATAATTGTTGGTTCTATTACCCTATACCCGTCTTATAAAAAAATTGTTATTCTTGAGTTGTTAATTTTAATTTTGTAAGAAATCCGTATTTTGTACATATATCGCACATTGGGAAGAATAACGACACATTTCAAAAAAATAACTTCGACTTTCGGAATTTGAAGTATTTATAGTCGAGTGTAAATTACTATCGAAGTCTAAAACAAGTTGTTCTATACCAACTGAAAGTATGTGAAAGTACTCGGATGTCAAATTATTCTAAAAGTATGTGAAAAAATGTTATATATTACTTTGTTACAGAAAAGCTTTATATCTTAAAATATAATAGTAATAAGAGCAAGTTTGCGGCTCTACTTTTTGACTTAAGGCATTGCTCTCACAAATGTCCGACGTATTATTAATTAGCATAAATTTTTTTTTTTGTTAATATTTCAGAAATTAGAAATTTACTACACACTTTTAATTTCATAAATACAGGTCTAATGGACATACAATTAATTCTTTTATTAAACGTATAATTTGAAGTTTCCCGCAAGGGTTAAAAATTTATTAAAAAAAAAAAAAACAAGGAGAGAAAATAAATAAAAGTTAAAATAAATGTTAAGTTAACCATTATCGGTAGCTTTTCTCTCTATATACATTATAAGAATATTATGTATTAGAGAATATCCAAACAAAATAAAATTATTTCTCAACTTTTGCATATTATTTTACTGTTTTTTTTTCTTTCTAATAAAATTTACAATATTCTAGTTCTTATTGTTGCTATGTAATACACTTTATTACTTGATGATATTGAAACTTTTCCACAATTTTTTTTTTTCTTTCTCAAAGTTGTTCTTTTACTATAATGCATATAATAAGTTGTGTATGTATGTATGTAGTTTTTCTATATAAATTTTTTTTTTTATAGAAAAAGAATCAAAAAAGAAAATTCTTTTATTTTAGCTGCTAGTATTTTAAAAAAAATAAAATTTTTTTTTTTTTTTTGGTTTCAGATAAAAAGACAAAAGTTGCAGCATTATTGGATTAAAAAGATTCTTGATTATGTTTTTTTTTTCTCGTTAATTGAGATGAAATGATATATGGTTGTATGACAGAATAAAATTCTAATTGAAATATAATCAAGAAGTGGATTTAAAATTTTGTGATTAAAATCATAGAAAAGTTCAATAAAATAAAGTAATTAAAAAAAAATAGTTTGAAACTTTTTAATATTAAGTATATAGAATTTCTTTCACTAGACGTGCTTCGGGTCTAATGGATATTTGCATATTTGGAATATTATGTGTAGTTCGCTTAATTATTTTAAATATGGGGAAGGAAATTTGAGTTGTAACTATAATAAATATAATAACGTAATATTTTGAATCGGGTGCATATTTCTAAATCGTCCTCGTCGTAATCAAAAAAAAATTTTAATATTTTTAAATTTTATTTATTTTGAATTTTTTACTTTTGAATAATTTTATTTTCGTAAATATTTTAATTCAAGATTTGACTGTTTTATTTTTGCCTACTAATTTCAATATTTAATTTTCGCCATTGAAAAACTTTGTGTACAGTTCAAGTTAGCTAGTATGTACTATGCTAATACATTATTCTTACAAAACATACCATGTAGTACATTAAAACTTTTGAATAGCAAACAAAAAGAGTTGCAAAAGAATTTTGTTCTGTGCTTGAACTTGGAAAAATTACGTTTTATTTAATGATATTAGTTATTTAAAATTCCTTCAAGAAGGTATCTTATAAGAAGACAACAAATATTTAACATCTTTAAACTTTAGGTAAGGATTTCAATGAATATAATCAATTTTACTATTATTTATTCCGCTCTACTAGGTCCTTTTAATGAAAAAACGAATATAAACTTTTTGCATTAAATTTTTCCATTCTCTTAATATTTATTAGTAAAATTGTTAAAAAATTAAAATATTAACAGTTTTCTATAATATGTACACATATTATAATATATTTAATATATAAGCTAAATTATTACATAAAATTGTGCATATTATTTTGTCTTTATATTTTTTTTGTTAAATTGCGTTAGTGTTAATTTATTTAGAGAAAAAAATCAAAATCTCACATTTATATAAAATAATTATATAAAATAATTTTTCTCCACTGTTATATTTAGTTGTATTTAAATTGTGTTTTTAAGTATGCCTAGCTAGAGCTACGTAACATTAACTAAAGGTATATCTATCTACTTTATAAAAGTTTACAGCTTCATAATTCCAACTGTTAATAAAATATTAATTAGTTCCATAATTTGAATAATGACAAACTAAATTATAGTACAAATTTTACTGCTAAGGAAAATTTGTTGAATATTAATTTAAATTAAAATTTTTTTTGCAAAAATCACATAAAAAAAGTTTATAATATAAAAAATTTTTTCTTAAGACAAAAACTGTTCCAGAACAACTTTTGACAGAAAATTAAATTTCAATTTTGAAATAAATTTTCTTAAAAATAAAAAACAAGAAAAAAATTAAATAATAATTAATTTCAAAACAAATATGAATTTTAT